GGGTCTTAACCGTTGCACAATCGACTGTGAAACGGTTAGGCGCTCCGCCGCCGCCGCCGCCGCCGCCGCCGCCGCCGTTAAACGTTTCACAATCGATTGTGCAACGGTTAAGACCCCCTCTCGCCAGGAGGGGGCCTTAACCGTTGCGCAATCGATTGTGAAACGGTTAAGCGCCGGCGCCGCCGCCGCCGCCCCTTAACCGTTTCACAATCGATTGCGCAACGGTTAAGGCCCCCCCCTCGCCAGGGGGGGCCTTAACCGTTGCGCAATCGATTGTGAAACGGTCGAGCGCCGCAGCCGCCGCCGCCGCCGCTCCGCAACCGCTTAACCGTTTCACAATCGATTGCGCAACGGTTAAGACCCCCCTCTCGCCAGGGGGGCCTTAACCGTTGCGCAATCGATTGTCAAACGGTTAAGCGCTCCGCCGCCGCCGCCGCTGCCGCCGCCGCCCCTTAACCGTTTCGCAATCGATTGCGCAACGGTTAAGGCCCCCCCCCCCTCTCGCCAGGGGGGGGTCTTAACCGTTGCGCGATCGATTGTGAAACGGTTCAGGCACCCCCCTCTCGCCAGGGGGGGGGCTTAACCGTTGCGCAATCGATTGTGAAACGGTTAGGCCCCCCCTGGCGAGAGGAGGGGGTCTCAACCGTTGCGCGATCGATCGAATCCTGGTTAAGACCCCCCCTCGCGATAGGGGGTCTTAACCGTCCGCGATCGATCGCGGAACGGTTGAGACCCCCTATCGCGAGGAGGGGGCCTTAACCAGGATTCCGATCGATCGCGCAACGGTTAAGACCCCCTCCTCTCGCCAGGGGGGGACCTTTAACCGTTGCGCAATCGATTGCGAACGCGGTTTAAGACCCCCCCTGGCGAGAGGGGGGGGGCCTTAACCGTTGCGAAACGGTTCAGGCACCCCCCCTCTCGCCAAGGGGGGGCCTTAACCGCTGCGCAATCGATTGTGACGCGGTTAAGCCCCCCCCGTGGCGAGAGGGGGGGGGTCTGAACCGTCGCGCAATCGATTGTGAAACGGTTAAGGGGCGGCGGCGGCGGCGGCGGCGGGTTAAAGAGCTCCCAGGGAGCTCTAACATAGCAAGTTAAAGTATGTTAGAGCTCCCTGGGAGCTCTGACATGGCATGTTAGAGCTCCGTGGGAGCTCTAACATCGCATGTTAGAGCTCCCTGGGATCTCTAACATCGTATGTTAGAGCTCCAACGGAGCTCTAACATAGCATGTTATATTATGGTAGAGCTCCCTGGGAGCTCTAACATCGTATGTTAGAGCTCCGTGGGAGCTCTAACATGCGAGCTCTAACATGCTATGTTAGAGCTCCCATGGGAGCTCTAGCATAGCAAGTTAGAGTCTGTTAGAGCTCCCTGGGAGCTCTAACATGCTATGTTCGAGCTCCCTGGGAGCTCTAACATCGTATGTTCGAGCTCCAATGGAGCTCTAACATAGCATGTTATATTATGTTAGAGCTCCCTGGGAGCTCTAACATCGTAGGTTAGGGCTCCGTGGGAGCTCTAACATCGTATGTTAGAACTCCGTGGGACCTCTAACATGTCATGTTATAGCTCCCTGGGAGCTGAAACGTGGCACGTAAGAGCTCCCAGGGGACTCCCTGGCACCTCTCACCTAGCATATTAGACCTCACAGGGAGCTCTAACATGGCATGATAGAGCTCCAGGAAGTTCTAACATGTTACGTTGGTGCTCCCAGGGAGCTCTAACATGGCACGTTAGAGCTCCAACGGAGCATTAACATAGCATGTTAGAGTATGTTAGAGCTCCCTGGGAGCTCTAACATCGTATGTTAGAGCTCCATTAGAGCTCCAATGGAGCTCTAACATAGCATGTTAGATTATGTTAGAGCTCCCTGGGAGCTCTAACATCGTATGTTAGAGCTCCGTGGGAGCTCTAACACGGCGGCGGCGGTGGCGGCGGGTAGGCTAGAGCTCCCATATTAGAGCTCCCTGGGAGCTCTAACATACCGAGCTCCAAAGGAGCTCTAACATAGCATGTTAGAGTATGTTAGAGCTCCCTGGGAGCTCTAACATGGTATGTTCGAGCTCCGTGGGAGCTCTAAAATGCTCCAACATGCGACGTTCGAACTCCAGGGAGCTCTAACATGGCTTGTTAGAGCCAGCGAAGCTCTAACATAGCATTTTAGAATATGTTAGAGCTCACTGGGAGCTCTAACATGGTATGTTAGAGCTCCGTGGGAGCTCTAATATGGCATGTAAGAGCTCCCGGCCTCCTCGTCGGAAGCGGCCCCCTCGACTGGCTGGGATTAGGGCTGGTTTAGGTTGATGTTTTTGATGTGTTTTTGATGTGAGTATGACCTTCCCTGTTGTTGGATGTTTTTTGATTGTGATTATGACGATGTCATGTTTTTCCTGATTGTGATGATGACGATGTTGATGACGATGATAATGATACTTTCGAATGGCGACTATCCGATCGTATATATACAATCAACATCATCTCCATCACCATCATCACCACCATCCATCACCATCATCACCACCATCATCACCATCATCATCATCACGACGACGACGACGACGATGGCGGGGGGACGGCATGCGGACGTGCCCAATGGGACGACGACGACGACGACGACGACGGCGGGGGGGACGGCTCGATGGGAGCTCTAACATGCTATGTTAGAGGTCCCATCGAGTATGGGAGGCAACTCTAACATGCTGTTAGTTAACATAGCAAGTTAGAGTATGTTGGAGCTCCTTGGGAGTTCTAACATCGTATGTTAGAACTCCGCGGGACCTCTAACATGTCATGTTATATATAGCTCCCTGGGAGCTGAACCATGTGATGCCAGGGAACTCCCTGGCACCTCTAACCTTGCATGTTAGACCTCCCAGGGAGCTCTAACATTGCATGTTAGAGCTCCAACGGAGCTCTAACATAGCACGTTCGATTATATTAGAGCTCCCTGGAAGCTCTAACATGGCATGTTAGAGCTCCAGTGGAGCTCTAACATACAAAGCATGTTAGGTCATGGTAGAGCCCCAATGGAGTTCCAACATCGTATGTTAGAGCTCCGTGGGAGCTCTAACATGATATATTAGAACTTCGTGGACGCACGAAGTCAGCGCCTGAAATCAATATAGCAACACCTGCTCCCAAAACGAAGTAGTCGAGGATCGAGCTCGGGGTGGGGCTCCGACAGGTGGGCGCTGTGGGGGCCATAAGGAGCATACCCAATTTGCGAACAAATCCAGAGCCTTCCAAAACTTCAGGAGCCATATTCCAGCCCCCTGCGCCGCGTCAGCGCGGCGAAAGAGCCAGCGCGCGAGCCAGGCGGCACGCCTCCGACATCGGCTACCAGACGCCCATGCGAGGTCACTTGTCCTGCTGCTGAGCTCACTGGTGCTGCTGTTTGCCCTTCTGCTTGAGCTCCTCCACTTTCTGATCGAGCTCCTCGACTTTCTTCTGCAGGTTGTCCTGTGCCCGCATGGGATCCGTGAGCATCTGTCCCTGCGCCCGCAGGCGAGCCAGAATCTCATCCATCTTCTCGTCCTTATTCTGTGCGTTGGTCAAGGAATTGGGCATCGTGGTGATAACGGTGGTTAGCCCGTCCTGCTGCTGCCACTGCTGTGCTCCTGCTGTATCAGCCCCTGCTGTTGCAGCTCCTGGTGACGCAGCTCTTGAGCTGTTCCAGCTTTTCCAGTTGCTTAGAGCTCCTGCAGCTGTTCCAGCTTCTTGCTGGTGGCCTTCACTGTGCCATTGCTCTCCTCTGCCCTCTCTGGCCTTGACCTTGGCCTTCCTCGTCGGCCTCCAGTCCTCCGCTTCATCTTCTTCCCGCATCTGGACGTAGCTCGAGTGGAGCTCCACAGTGCTCACGATGGTAGAGCACCATGCGGTCTTGTCCTCATCAGAACCCTGTGGACAAGCATTATGCCACCAGAGATGCTTATTCTTTACATTATTGATGTGGTCCTGCGAAATCTGGTGCGTCGGGGCTGCCCATTTGTCGCGCGGTGAACAATGCCACCAGGGCTCATTAGGTTCTCCACTCGTCTTCGAAACGTACCCCTTAACTTGTAGCCATGGAACATCAATGCGTCCAGTGTTGCCAGGGTCAATGATGGCGGTTTCTGGACATGGGCCAGGAGGCCCCCCTGCGCTGCCCCCCATCTCTGGCATGGCAGCCTGCAGGCGCTGCAAGAAATGCCTTGAACCGAGGTGCTTGCGCTACAGGAAAGCTGGGTGTGTTCTACTACTGCAGCGGCTGTCGCAGAGGCTGTCGCAGCGGCTGTTGCAGCGGCTGTTGCAGCGGCTGTTGCAGCGGCTGTTGCAGGGGCTGTTGCAGCGGCTGTTGCAGCGGCTGTTGCAGCGGCTGTTGCAGCGGTTGTTGCAGCGGCTGTTGCAGCGGCTGTTGCAGCGGCTGTTGCAGTGGCTGTTGCAGCGGCTGTTGCAGCGGCTGTTGCAGCGGCTGTTGCAGCGGCTGTTGCAGCGGCTGTTGCAGCGGCTGTTGCAGCGGCTGTTGCAACGTACTGGCGATGCTGTCACTTCTGCATCGCAGCCTCAGTCGTCCCAGAGGTGAAGTCGAAACGGGAGATCGTCCTCACGCTCGCCAGTTTCTGGGTTGAGCTCTACTACTGCAGCGGCTGTTGCAGCGGCTGTTGCAGCGGCTGCTGCAGCGGCTGTTGCAACGTACTGGCGATGCTGTCACTTCTGCATCGCAGCCTCAGTCGTCCCAGAGGTGAAGTCGAAACGGGAGATCGTCCTCACGCTCGCCAGTTTCTGGGTTGAGCTCTACCACTGCAGCGGCTGTTGCAGCGGCTGTTGTAGCGGCTGTTGCAGCGGCTGTTGCAGCATACGGGCGATTCTCTCACTTCTGCATCGCAGCCTCAATCGCCCCCACCACGTACCACGTCTGGGTAGTGGCCACTGCGCGCACAAGACAGCGGAGCTGGGCAGCTTCGCAAATGGCGCTCATAATGTCCTACAGACATATAGGAAGCTGTATGCGCAGTGCCTGACCGCAAGCCCCTGCTGCGACGCGACCTTGTCAGCACGGCGGAAGTGCGCGATCACATGCTTCTCAACCTCTCCGCATTGTTTGTCGGGGAAGGACGCGACCACCTGCATCTCATCGTAGCTGAGCTTGTGCCCGCGCATGAAGCTTCGGTCGTTTCCTCGCCACCCCCATCCTCCATTCCATCGCCATGAAGGGTCGCTCGTCGTGCCGATGTAGACGGAGCGCCCAGAGGCGATGGCACGATCGTGGAGGTGCCGCACGCGCTTCATCACTAGACCAACGTCGATGTCGATGAGGGGCTGGTGTACAAACATCGATTGCATGCCGCGACAATCACTGAGCACCTGTCGAGCGTCCTCCCGGGCGCCTTCCCACATCATCTTAAGCCGCGTCTCTCGGCTGCGCGAGCGCATGCGACGCCTGGCAGGCGCTGTCACTCTTTTGCCGCTGTCATCGAAACAGGCGGCCTTCGCGAACTGAAATGCGCTGCCGCCATCGACCCCTGCAAAGGCCCTCGGGCTCCGAACTCCAGAGGCCTTGTCGCCACCGTCGCCGCATCCTGCTCGGCCCCCGACAGCGTCGGTAGGCGGTCCCCCGCGTGGAAGGTCGAGCCCCAGGCGATCTGTGATGAACGAAAATGTGTCATTGTTCCCATTGCCCATGCCACCGGCGCTGATGGTGTCATTGGCCATGACCTTGACCTTGACGTTCACGCCGCAAGGCCCTCGAGCTGCTCCGCCGTCTCCGACGCTCCCTGGAGGAAGCGACGATGCTGATGCTGGATGCACCTGTGCTGGAGAGGGCGATGCTGTCTGGATCTCGCAGCCCCTGATCTCTGGAGGCGATGCCGACGGCTCTTGCAAGCCCTTCTCTGGAGGAAGCGATGCTGTCTGGATCTCGCGCTGCTCTGTGGGTGCCGCCAGCGGCGCCCACGCCCGCTGCAAAACCTCCCAGGTTGGCTTGTTGCGGACTCGCAGCGGCGGCGGCCACGGTCCGAACGTCCACGGCAACTCTGGCTTCAACATAGAGCGTCATACCTTCAGTGGCCTCGTCATCCGAGCCGCCGAACATGTCTCGCAGAAGGCAGGCAGAAACCGACTGCGAGTCCTCGCTGGGGGACCCCTGGGATGAGGTGCTGAATAAAGGATCCCCCATGGTTCTTGCCCCAGCCATGGGGAACTAGCTTGGGCCAATATGCCAAGATGATGTAAGGATGCGAATCCTGTCGCGCATCTGCTGGGGTGCACGGGGCTCTGTGGGGTCCTGGGCGTGGTGCCCTAGGGCCCTGGGGCCCTCTCTGGTGGCCTCTTCCTCCTCGCTTGCTGCGCCCAGCTGGTGGCGACCAGGGAGGTACTGGGCACCAGAAAGCCGAAGGCTAGAGGCTAGAACAATTCGAACCAGGCAGCCCAAGCATCCAAGCGCCTAGCGCCTAGCGGCCTGGAGAGTGAGACAATCTGCATACTAGGGAATGCAGTTGATCTGAAAATAGGCGTCTTTCTCCTCATCTCTGAGCTCAGGGATGCATGGGGGCGCCTGCGCTCGCTGTTCCAGCCATGCGCAGCACATGCGCAGAGTCCTATCGTGGGCCCATTCCCACTCGCGCCAGTAACAGATGCTCTCGCGGGCACCTTAGCTCAGAGCGTGATGCGCTCCACCCCCCTCCTCCCACCTGGACTCCTCCTCCTGCTCCTCCTCCTTGCCTCGTCCTCCTCGTCGTCGTCGTCCTGGTTCCCCCACGTGGGCCTGCGGGGGCGCCGCGGCCGCCCGCGGCAGCGCCGCCCGCCACCAGGGACCTGGGGGTTGGGGGGGCGCAGGAGCTGTTGCAGCGGAGGCGCAGCAGACGGCGAGAGGAGACGAGTCGGAGAAGCTCGCCGTTTTGTTGTCACGCTTCTCTGCATAAACAGCTGTTCCTACGATGCCTGGCCCTATCGAACCTCGGGCGCGCGCCCGCATGCCTATCACTAGGAGCCTAGTGGACAGGCTTCTGCACGCCGAGAGACGGAGGGCGGCGCTCCTCTGGGGAGAGCTTGAAAGGGAAAGTACAAATTACCTGCCTCCAGCACGACACCGGCGGCACGCCGAACGGAGGCGCTGTTGCAGCGGAGCGCTGGCCACAAAGACTCTGCCGATTCCGCGCAACCGTCCCCATCCCAGCCCCTCCCCATTTCCCTCGCCACTGCCATCCCCCTGAGTAAGTCAACTGGCAACCTGAGGCCAGCGAGCTGGATGCCAGGGTCCCTGAACGAGTGGCACGCTCCTAAGATGAGACGCACGAGAGGACAATACCACACACAATACATGTACTTCGTGTTGACATGTGTGCTAATCATATACAAACACACACACACACACAAACCTCAGTCGCGCAGCCAAGCCGGCTCAGCATCAAGGAAAACCGCAAGACAAACCCAGTCCGCACAGCGTCAAAGCGCATGCGGGCGGCCGCACAGGCGTGCCACTGTTACAGTATAAGGCAAACATCAGGTCACCCGCGCCGAAGGGTATCTGACAGACAGTCACCACCCGACGCGACTGGAAGCACTTCGCCGACTGGGTCAGGCGCTCGAGAACTTGCGGTATTCAGTCATGCTAGCCGCCCACAACCCCACTCGAAATGTGTGCGAGGGTGCCGCGTACTCAAATTGTGTGCGTATCTGTTGCATAGCGGAAGGCAGGGCTCATCCGAGAGGCGCATCTGTGCAGGTCGGCCAAAACTGGCGCTGACAGAAGCAATGCCTAAACCAGAACTGGCGCGTCGCAGTCGACTGTTGCAGTCTACCAGAAGCGCGCTCGGAGAGGCCCCGCGATTTACTGCGACAGTCTGTGCAAGCCGTCAGCTGCTCCCAGACGCGGGCTGGTCCCACCGAGGCTCACAGAGTTGCTTTGCCTTGTCAGGGTGCGTGTAATAAATGGGCGCGACTCTGTCGTGCAGCGTTTTTGGGTGCGGGTGACTGTAGTAGTTGCCATGGTACTGCACCTGCACGTCCACGAGGATCCCGAAGATGTGCTCCCTGAAACAATAGCCATTGATGTTCTGCCTGATGCCGCCGATCCAGTACTTGTACTCGCGCCTGTGGAAGTCCCATTCTGCCTTGATCACAATGTGCGCGTAGTATTGGTGCTGCGGTTGCACCAGGCAGAAGACGATGTCTCCTTTCTGCACGGTGGACGCCTCCTTCACGACGCAGCCAGGGCCCGCTTCCGCTGTCACAGCTTGGATGGGGTGAAAGGTGCAGAAGTCGTGCGACCGCACCAGAGGCCACATGGGGCTTCCCGAGCGCGGGTACCACACGGGGAAGCCGGCGAGGAGGCACTCATGTATCATCTTGTTCCTCTCTGCCCGCAGCTTTAATTCCAGAACGAGCTTGTCGGGGTCCGACCATGCACCCTCGACCAGCGTCCAGTCCTTGTGGAACACGGGAATGGCCTCGTGCGGGGACGACAAAACAAAGGGTGGAAGGCGCTTCGGCTTGCTCTGCTCGACGACTGCGGCCTCCTCGGGGGGCAACTTGGCGATGGACTTGTCACCTTTGGACTGCTCCGCCGTCTGACCGACCTTTGCACGTAGTGGGAAGGCTGACATGGCTCTTGCAGCTATGCGGGCATTCGCCGTCTGTTCCGCCTGCCGCTTAAGAAGTTTCCCGCGCTCGATAGGCTCCTCGCTGTGCTTCATGGTGGCAAAAACCGTCGTCGCCCGTGTGGCTGACCCACGTGGAGCCTGGGATAAGAGCTGGCGCCGCTCAGCCTCCATGTGTTCCTGCCGCGCTCGCTCTGGCTCGGGCTCGTAGTGGTCCGCCTCTTGTCGCAGCTGCTCTCTCGTCATCGGCGGCGGCGGCGGCGCGACCCTGCCCGATAAATCGATTGGCCGTGGCGGGCGGGAGGGCATCCGTTTCGGAAGAGGCTGGCCCTCCGCGGGCGTGTCACTGACCCTCTTCGCTGGCGCGTGCTTGGCCCACAGAGTCTTTTGTCTCCAATCATCCTCCTCCTGCCGAAGCGGAGATGTGAGAGGAGCACCCATCCCGCGCCGTGCATGGCTTTCTGGCGGCGTCCGTGCCGTGACAGGAGCATCCCGCGCCGTGCTGCGGGTGCGCTCTCTGCCTCTGCGGGTGCGGTCACCAGCCTCTCGGGGGGAGCCGCTGTCGGAGATCTCAATCGTGTGGTGCGGATCACCCGACTGCTCGGCCTGGGCCCGCGCTCTGTCGGCCTCCGACGGAAGCTCCGTCAGCCTGAGCCCGCTCCTCGCCGCCATCGGCGGGCCACTAGCGCCTGCGCCCTCACGAGCTGTTGCTGCCTCTCGCCGCCCGCTTGATGACGCTGTTGCAGCCAACTGGCGCTGGCGCGGCGACGCCTCTCTCTGGCGACTCTGGGCGTTTGACAGGCGCCGCTGCTGCCTCACCCACCGCTGCAGATCCCAGTGGTACCGTACACAGTCTTCGATCCCAGTCGCCCCTGGCGGGTTCCGACGCTCCCAGTCTATCATCTGAGTGTTCCACCTGATCTCCTCATCGCTCAACTGCCTGCGTGCGGTCGCGTCCAGGCATCCGTAGGGTCTCTCCTGGCCCTCCCAGACTCCTGGACGGTCGAAGATCATCATGCCGTCATTGTCCAACTGCTGCTGCTTATGTTGGACCCAGCGCAGGCGGCGCTCATGATCCAACGCCTCATCGTGTTCGCCCTCCTGACGCGCCAACGTGATATTCAACTCGCACCGCTCCCTCTGGCTCCGCAAGCCTTTGCGCTGGTTGAGCAAGTACTCCCAGGTGCCGACCTGAAGATGGGAGCTCTAACATGGTATGTCAGAGCTCCCTGGGAGCTCTAACATCCTCTAGCATGCCATGTTAGATCTCCATGGGAGCTCTAACATGGTATGTTAGAGCTCCAATGGAGCTCTAACACCCTGCCATAGAGCATCCCATGTTAGCTCCCTGTGAGCTCTAACATCATGGCATGCCATGTTAGAGCTCCAGGTGAGCTCTAACATGGCATGTTAGAGCTCCAATGTAGCTCTAACATCCTCTAACCTGCCACGTTAGAGCCCCATGGGAGCTCTAACATGGCATGTTAGAGCTCCATGGGAGCTCTTATCAGACAGGGGGGGGGGGGGGTACTACAGCTAGCCCAGATTTGGCTGGTCTGACCTGGCGCCCTTTGCCCTTGCCCTTGCGCCCCATCTCTGGCATGGCAGCCTGCAGGCGCTGCAAGAAATGCCTTGAGCCGAGGTGCTTGCGCTACAGGAAAGCTGGGTGTGCTCTACTACTGCAGCGGCTGTCGCAGCGGCTGTTGCAGCGGCTGTTGCAGCGGCTGTTGCAGCGGCTGTTGCAGCGGCTGTTGCAGCGGCTGTTGCAGCGGCTGTTGCAGCGGCTGTTGCAGCGGCTGTTGCGGCGGCTGTTGCAGCGGCTGTTGCAGCGGCTGTTGCAGCGGCTGTTGCAGCGGCTGTTGCAGCGGCTGTTGCAGCGGCTGTTGCAGCGGCTGTTGCAGCGGCTGTTGCAGCGGCTGTTGCAGCGGCTGTTGCAGCGGGGAAGACGGCCTCGTCGCTGCTCCTGCCTCGTCCTGCTCCCCCCTCCTCCTTCAGCCCCATCACCCCCCTCATCCCCCTCCTCCTGAGGGCGGCCCTGGGCGCCCGATGCTTCCCACCCCCACCCTCCCACCCTCGCCGCCGACAACCGCCGCCACGGGCAACAGCAGCCCCCCCCCCCCCATCGGCGACCTTCAGGCCCCCAGCGGCGGGCAGCGCCGCCCGCGGCAGCGGCGCCCACTGAGGGGCGCAGGGGGGGAGGTAAGGTCGGACGACGTTGGGCGGCGCTCTTTTTCAACAAACTATGGCACGGCCTTGGTGCCTGGGCACAGTGCTGCGACCGTCGCGTCGAAACGCAGAACCCAGTTCCTCGGGCTGTTGTAGAGCTGTTTGACGGCTCTGTCGACACCCGCTTCTTCTCCCGAGCGGCACAGCACGCAAGTTCGCTGCGCCAGGCGGGGATTGGCCTGCCTCTTGAAGAACTTGCAGAGCTTCCTGGGGCTCTTGTAATAGATCACACACCCACTCGGCGTCTGGGCAAGCGCTCGCAAAACGCGGGGCAGTGTAGGCAGGTCTTCCGCGAGAGCCTCTG